TAAACTCCTCGTTTTTCTCATAGACGTGTGGAGCAGGTAGTTTCAGATTTGGTTCATCTGAAAGATGTCAGGGCCCAGGCTGCTTCTCTGAGAGTCTTTGACCTTCCTCTCATGTTGCAAGATAACCACCTCCGCTCCAAGTACCCCATTAATTTTTTATTGACAGAGAAAAGAGAGAATCTCTCTTTTGATGCCTCCCATCCCCGAGAGCTCCTTCATGGGAGCATCAGGCCTCTTCATGGGCAGCCAGCTCTGCGAACAGGGAGAAAGGCATTACGTAGGTAACCAATGTCTGCTGCAGTGATGAATTCCATTTTCTCCCCCTTCACCATGGCTAAAGGCTCACTTGGCAGTCTTATAGAGCTGGAATTAAATGGGCTAAATCATAACTATGATAAATTAGTGTGGTCTAGAAACCAGTTTCTCAGTGGGTTTTTTCCCTTTTACTTTGTGATTGAGGGCTACCACTGCTGTTTCTTAACAAATAAAAGATTTGATTATTTCCCTTGTACTTTTAAAGTATGAATGAAAGCTCTTTGGCTGCCATGAAGACATGTATCTACCCCATTATGCACCTTGCAGGATTACCTTTCTGGTATTACTTTACATTATACACCTTTGTAAGTGCCTTTGTGTATGTGTGTGACATACGAATTTATAAGAGGAAGACAATTCTATAGACATTATGAACCATGTTTGTTTTAGAATCAGGAGGCTCAGAGAGCTCTCTGGCATTTAAGGTTGAGCCAGGACAGCCAGTCTTGGCTGTTCCCCAGAACGGCAGAAGGTGGCTGAGCTGAGCCCAGCCCGTGGCACAAGCATGGCAGAGCCCAGGAAACTTGGATCTTCAGCTAGAGAGAAAAAGTGTCTGGGCGTCGGTGATTGCGGAGTAGTGCTTCAATTTCTGAGCTGGATAAAGTTAGAATCCTCTGTTCTGTGGATCTGTAATTGTAATTGTCTAATCTGTAATTGTCCAATTGTGATATTTTTAACCGGATAAAATTCACATGTAATAAATTGGGGCTGAGAGTGTCACAAATGGTACCTTTGCTGGTGAAAAGTGGGAGGAGGAGGGGAAGAACTGAGGAAAGAAGCTCTAAATCTCATCTTGTACCTGTAGCAGTGTATGCATTATCTGTTGTACACTGAATGCTCATGTGCCCTGGGTGCTGGGGGTGGAAGAATAGACAAGACCAGGTCTGCCTTCGAGGCACTAACAGTGTTGTGAGAGGGGGTTAGTAACCCTGCCTTCTTTCTCATCACAGTAGAAAAGTGAATATGGAAAATCACTGTTGTCTACAGGCAAGCTGGTTGGGCTGATTTTCCTTATAATTTTAGAGTGTTTCATTTCCAAATTTGAGTTAGTATAGTAAAATCATATTATGTTACAGTAATTGTATTTGAACTAAATTATAGTGAGTGCCAAGAGAAGGCCTTACCCATTCTCTGATATTTCAGAAATAGATTTCAAAGCCACTTGGTGCCTTGGGGGAATTTTTATTTCCATAACACCTGAAATGATTGACTCAAGTCAGGGAATCTCTAATTTACTGAAAGCTGTATTTTTGAAAGTCCTGTTTTAAATGTTAAGAAGTATTGTTGAAAAATTGATACTTAAAACCAAAATTAAAAAGCCGGATGCCTTATATACTTCCACAAGAAAGCAACAACTGACGTCAAGCTTAAACTCTCCCCTTAGCTTTTCCTAACCAGGCAAATCTGGCCCCACTTTAGACTTCAATGTGCAAACAAGATTATGTGAACCCTGATGCACATCACAGGAATTTTGCCCTGCGGTGGCCTTTGGGTGTCCTGGTTTTGACTGCCACCTTTTGTTCCAGCTCTCAGTCCTGGCTTAAATCCCAGGCTTCCTGGGCCCTCTCATCACCAAGCTTCTCCTTCCTGCGGGTGCAGCCTGTGCGGGCCCAGGGCACAAGTGCACAGGCAGCCTCCACCCTGGCCCAGCAGCGATTCCCTGCCGCAGGGGAGGGCGCTGCCTGCCGGCCCGGGGCCGCTCACCACCTCCTGGGACGTGTTTCTCCCTGCAGAACCTCTTTGCCCCACCTCCCCGGCTTCCCCAAATCTAGAGGCTTCTGGAATGTTGCCCTTGGCTGGGACTTTCTTAATCAAAAGTCTCAGAAAAAGTGTTTTTCTAACTCCAAAGCATCCACCTTTCCTAACCCTGTGGATACGGGTGTGGCCACATTAAAAAAAAAAAGAAGAAACGGGCAGAAGTTTGAAACTGTCATTTTTCTTTAATGGGTTTAATAGTCATCGTGTCCTGGGTCAGGTGATCAAAGCCTCTGAGTCCCTGCACTTTGTTCCTGGTTTGGGGTCGGCTGGGCAGGGTCCACCACGTCTTTGTGCTTCTCTTCACTGGGGGCAGTTCCCAAGTATGGCACCACTTTCCCTGTAAATAGACTTTTTATATGTTTCATAGGCTTATAATAGTTTGAGTCAGAAGAATAATTTTAGAATAAAACACCTTAGAAGAATTGGGTCCAGTAACGACTCAGGGCCTATAAAAGGCCTATTTCCAGTGCCCGCGACAGTGGCACGGAGTGGGGGGAGCGTGTCCAGGGCTGAGCGAGGTCATGGGGTGAACAGAGCGGTCTTCCTGCGACACCAGGGTCCCAGCCATTTGGAAGACCTGTTTAAATGTTAAAACTGCACGCGTGCTGTGGAGCAGAATACAGAGTTTATAAGAACTTTAAGGTAAGATGTTTTACACATGAGAAACTTCACTTTGGGGCTGTTATCCCAGACGTCACAGGGGTCTAGTTAAGGCAACTTTGGTAGAAGTTTGAGAAACATTGTACTTAAGAAAGTACCATCATACAAAACTGTATGACTGTTCACAAGTTGTTGTGTTATGACATTGGCTACTCCTTATTCTGCAGACATTCTTATTTTATGTAATATGTGTGCCAAAAAAGTTGTGTTTGAGTTGATGTATTTGTAAACTGAATACTAGTAAATGCAGTAAACACTTTTTAAGAAACCCTAAATTATTATAAAAATAATTACTTCCTGGTTATTCTGTAAGTTTGATTTTAATAGAATTATTTTTTGAAAGTGGTTTTCTTACACTCAACTATAAACATCCACTCATCTTAAATTGGAAATAGTTCTATATTTGTCTTTCAGAAAATGCTGTTTTATCAATACCATTGAATTTATCTCATAGCAATAAAAATCGAAGATTGTTGCTAAAGTGGAGTAGTATAAGAAGTATTTTTTTAGATTCCTGACCACATTAAATATATAAAATATTATTTCTTATAGTTGTTTCATCTTAATGTAGCACACACAACAAAACATCAGTTTGATTATGCAGTTTCTCAGGACAGATGATTAAATAACCATGAAATGAACCATGCTAATTTCAAACTTGATTTGCAGTGTTGCACTATTTATTACTCTAAGCAATTATATTAACCAAATATAAATGTTCATATATCTTCATTAACATGCTATGTGTGTCCATCTATTTCCAAATATTTTCTTGCTCTTCGTATATTATAATCTTCAGTAAGTATTTTAATAGGTAGGCTTATTAAAGTTTTATTATACTTAATGTAAAAGAGTAGAAATGAAAATAAGTTAAAGTAGAATGGATAAAATATAATTGAAATAATTTGTAGTATAATTTAAGTACACTTCATTGTTAATTTGGAAATTTAAAAGTATGTGACCACATTATTTTGGAGAAAGTAAGAGCAATATTGTATTATTGGTTTCTAGGGTTTTTGTTTTTTTTTAAGGCTATGAATTTTAGTCCAAAAATAAAAAGGATAAAACTAACTTAGCTACCTTATTTATCAAGTCAATAAATATCTGGGTTAAACAAATGCTTATAGAGTAAGATGTAGAACAGACTATACAAGGGGTTCCCCCCTAAAAACGGAAGTATCTTCTGGAGGGCAGGCCTCTTGTAGAACGGGCTTCCCCTGCTAGGTGAGTGTTCTGGAACCCGTCTGTGTAGTGTTGCAGCTGTTGGTGGTGTGAGAGTCTGTGCTTGGCTTCAGAAAAAGTTTTTTAAAACCCTTTCAACACATTTACCTATTTCATGAAGGGTGATTTACGAGCACACCTGCCCACACCGCGCTGAGCATTCAGCAGTTTTTGACCAAGAACAGCATGACCCCCATGCCCCACCCTCCCTATTCACCCGATCTCACTCCCAGCGAATTTTTTGTTTTTTTGTTTCCCTGGATGAAAGAAGTCCTCAAAGGGACACGTTGCCCATGTGGAAGAGGTGAAACAAAAAACAATGGAAGCACTAAAAGGCATCAAAATCCATGAGTTCAAAAACTGTTTTGAGCAGAGGAAAAAATGTCTCAATAGGTGTATTGCATCATGTGGAGAGCACTTTAAAGATGATAGAAGTTTAAACACGTAAGAATAAATACACAATTTTTTATAAATGAATTCCATTTTTTGAGGGGCCTTCCTTTGTAATTTTGATTTTAGCTAGAAAAGTACATTATTATATAGAAATTCTTACAGAACATTTGCAGTTTTTACAATGATTCTTTTACTATAATTATAATCTCTCTCACACAGGAAAAATACTATAACAAAATGTTATTGACTTATCTGTTATAGTGTGAAATAAGTTTTAAAATTTTAAATAAATCATGTTAGCCTAAAAATACTATCAGGGAGTTAAGGTAACATAGAAGAAGTTTTGTTTTGTTTTGTTTTTTTCTGGAATAAGATTAAATCAAGTCTTGCAAACTAGTAAATTAGCTTTGAATTGAAAGAAGTAAAATACTATTCAGATATAGGTAGAATATTTGGTAAAAGCAGAATTGTGACTGTTGGCTACTCGGTTACTCAGGATGTAGGCACAGGGATGGCTCTGAGTGTTAGGGAAATGCTGGCTTGTGTTGGATTTTGCTGGAAGAATAATGTCTCTCAACTATAAACAGAACTATGGTTAAGTTGTTGAAACAAAAAAATTAATGAGTTTTTGTATATTTTTATTTCATTATTAGGCTATCAGCTGCAAAGGTCAACACAGCATATCATATACTCTGTCAAGGAATCAGACTGTGGTGGTGGAGTACACACATGATAAAGATACGGATATGTTTCAGGTAACATTTTTCTTTTTTTTAATGGAAATTTTAGGATATTATTCCTTCAGTTCTGTATTTTGATATGTAGTCAGAACTTCTAGCACATTAGCTTTCAGTGATGCCCAAAGGGAAAGAGCTGAGGATAATATAAAATTATTTCTATTTGACTTTTTTTAAACTGCAAAAAAAATGATAAAGATTACATTCTCAGATTGCAATGCAGTAAAAATAGACTTGAATAACAAGAATAAAAACTTTTATAGGGAGCTACATTTAAAAGCCAACATGTTTAAAATACTTCCTAAATAACACTTGAATCAAAGATGACATCAAAATACAATTATAGGCCTTTTTAAAAATAACTGGAAATACTATATAGCAAAAATCATGAGATATGACTGACAGCATAGTCAACAGAAATGCAAAAACTTAAGTGTTTTTACTTGGAGGGAGGGAAGGAAGAAAGGGAGGGAAGGATGGGGGGTCAAGGAACTAAACATTTATCTCAAAAGTTCTGTTTCAAAAATGACAGAAAGCAGAGAACAGATATAGGAATCATTTTAGTGGTAAATAATAGAAAGTCCAGAAATACATCAAAAGAAAGTAGGAAGAAGGAAGTAATAAAGGAAAAATAACCATCATTAATTTAAAAAGAGAATTACTATATCTAAGATTTGGTACTTTAAAACAGCAGAAAATTAAAATTAAGCCTAATAAAATAAAAAAGCAAACACAAATTGGAAACCATGAGGCTTTGCATTTCTGTATAGAGAGTTAAATTATTAATTAAATGGTGAAATGTCAAAAATATATCATAGAAGCTAACATCAAAAAGAGATATAAATAGCTCTTACAAATAAGAAAATGTGCTCAGCCTCACTTATGAAAACAGAAATGTGAATTCACATCACACAGGTACCATTTTTTTAACTTAACCACGCCGGCAAAAATCCAAAAGGTTTTGTCAGAGATGTGAGGAGACGCTCTCCTACATGCTATAGATTGGTACAGCCTCTTTGGGGCAATGAATGTAAATACCTATGAAAAATACAAAATACACTCAGACTCAGCTCTTCTCTTTCTACAGCTCTTCTCTTCCTAGAGATTTACCTCAGAGACACCCCTACATACATGCAAAATGATATTCTTAAGTTATTGCTTGAAACATGGTTGAATAATAAAAATTTACAAACAACCTAAATTTCCTTCAGTAAGGGACCAGTTTCATGAATTTGGGGACAGCCATACAGTTGGGGCCTTCAAGGCTATAAAACAATAAAAACAAAGCCTTATGTGCAGGCACAAAGAGTTGCAAACATAATTTAATGAATTAAATATTAATACTGTTAAATACATTGAGCCATTGATAGTATCATATTCAATTAAGATTGCTTAATGTTGAATGTTAATAAAGTAAATAATATTATTAAATTTTAAATAGTATATTAATCATTAAATATTAAATTATTATAATTGTTTGAATAATGCCTATATGTGTTAAGTAAAGGAGCTGCCTTTGTGGGGAAGAGGACTAGGCAGGGAGTCTACAGGAAGGTATTAAACACTTTTTGATTTTTTTGAACTTTGTAAATGTTAGCTGTTTGAAAAACTAAACAATTATTTACATATAGATAGAGCCATCATCATAGTCATAGGTATAGACATAGTTATTTAAGTACCAGTTTGAACGCAAAAGCAAGATTTATTGTATTTAGACAAAATAGTAAGTGATTTTATTCTTTGTGCCATTTCATTTTATAATATTCCAAATGGTTTTTCTTCTCATTCTATAGAATAAAATATCTTCCTAAATAAGTATATGTATGTACTTCCCTGTTGATATCTTGATGGGACTTCATAATAATTTTTTTAATGCTTTACAAAATCATGTAACTTCCCTTTGTAAGATTTTTTTTTTTACTGTTTTACAGAGAGAAGATACTCAATACTAAAAAAGTGAATTAAGAAAAGCTTTAAAATGTAGTAAATGTACTTTTTAATTAAGTGTGTTAAATGTGTACATTAAATATATGGGAGTGAGCAAAAGTAAGTTTACACCTGTAATACAATAAATAATAAATAATAATATAAGAATAAACTGTTTCATGTACTCACAACTGTAAAGCTACTTTTGCTCACCTCTGTATTAAAATATTTTTTAAAAAAGATTTACATTTGTTGGTGGCACATTTTTTGGCGCTTGAAATCAAGTTACTGTGATAGTACATGTAATTTCATTACTATTCCTTAAGTGACATGTTGTGACATAAATTGTGTATTCTTTGCTGTTGTACAATCACATTCTTCTTAATTTTTTTACTTTTTTCCTTCTCATCTCTGCAAATGCAGAAAGAATTAAAGACTCAGCTGGATTTTTTCAGCTTCTGTTACTAACTTTTTTTATTGTGGAAAGAGCATTTAATATGATGTCTGACCTCTTGAAAAAATTGTAAGTGCATATAATACAGGATTTTTAACTACAAACACAATATTGTTCAGCAGATCTCTAGGACTTATGTATCTTGTGTATACTTGTTGAACAGGGATAAATAAAAAAAGGAAAAAGTAAAGTAAAATATAGAGAAAAGAATAGTTTATGAAAGCAATCAAAGGACATGGTGAACTGTCTCAGAACCGTATAATATAACGCCCAATACATTCTGATCAGGAGGGTCAGGAAAGTGGCCAGGTCCCAAAGCCAATGTGAGAGGTCTTTCCTCTCTGATTTCTTAGTTTCATAGGTTTTCTCCTGGGTGCTACAGTGACTTATGTTTTTAGTTTTTGTTTGATTCGTATTCAGTTTAGTTGGCTTATAGTAGTTTTAGATGGTAACATTAACATCTATATAGTTGAGAAAAATGTTTAAGAATATCAACATTTTTTCAATAGTAATTTCTTAAAATGTTTGCGTGCATGTGTGTTTCTCACAGTGTTCATGCTCAGTCTCTTGACCCTCCATTCACCAGTCTCATTTCTCGAGTGCCTACTCTTCATTCCTGTCCACAGACAGCTAAGGCTTCCTTCTTGTAGGGCCTGTGTTGTAGAGGAGGCAGATAGACCACAACAAAAAAGCAAGCATTCCAGGCAGTGCCAAGGCCCCAAGGCAGGAGCAGAGTGAAGGCTGAAGCCGGGGGGTCGGGGGGCGGATGAAATGAGATGGCCTTGGGAAGGCAGTCAGAGGCCGGGAGAGGTAGGGCCTTTAGGCCAAGTAAAGAACTTGAGTTTTATTCTAGGAGTTTGGAAGAAACTGTTGGAGGATTTTAAGCAAGAAAGAGGTATAATCTGATTTATGTTTCTAAAAGATGTCTCCAACTACTATAAAGAAGGTAGAAGGCCAGTGAGAAACCAGAAGACCAGTTTGGAGGCTACGGTAATGCACTCCAAGTGAGAGCTGATGCTAACTGGAACTAAGGTGGGGAAAGATGTGTTTTGGAGGTAGAGTTGACAGGAGCTACACAAAGTTAAATGTGAGTGTGGATGAAAGAATCAAGGATAATTCTTGGGTATTGATTTTTAGCTTGAGCAAATTGGATGTCAGTCACTGACATATGGAATCTAGGAGTTGAAGGGGATCCAGGTTCTATTTGGAACATGTTGAAATGCTCATTAGACATCCAAGTGGAGATTGGATGTGTTAGTCTGGAGGTCAGGGGAGAGATCAGGGCTTTGTGGCTAACAAATTGGATTTAATGAGATTACCTAGGGAGAGGACAGGAAGAGAGGGGGGAAGGTAGCTATTTCCTAACCAGCCTGGAAAGGTTTCATTATTCAAATACCAGGTACAGATGTGCCAGGATATGCTGGCTGATTATACGGCCTAGAGACCTCAGCAAGAGTGGTTTCAGTAGAACCGTGGGGAAGAGTTGGTTGAGGAGGGATGTTAAGGGGATGAGTAAGGAAATGACAGTAGTAACTAGTGTCAGGCTTTTCAAGACCTATTGTTGTTAAGTGAGAGAAATGAGGCAGTAGCTCGAGGGTTGCTTGTAGGCAAAGGGAAGGGTTTTTTAAAGATTAGAGACTAGTCTAGAATAGTGCTATGCAAACTGTATTCAGCAGAGCAGTGGCATGTCTGTTAACAGTACACAGAGAGAGATGAGTAGGAAATTGTAAACTGTTAATAGCACTTCGGTATTACTGACCGTTGAAGCAGGTGATCATTTTTCTAAAGCTCGTTTCTATTGCATTTTTAAAAAGGTATCAGTGGCAGATAGAAATTTAAAAAAAAACAACAAAAATTAGTTCTTTACTCCTCAGAGGCACAGTTTGAGAAGCTCCAGAATATTTGATAGCTGATGGCATGATCCAGTCTCAAGAGAGAAATGGATGGTTCAGGATAGGGGGCGGGGGCAGGAGCAAATACCAGGAGCAACATCCTTAGGAAGTGGAGAATATTGGGATCTCAGGCATCCATGGAGAGATTGGTCCTGAATAGCAGTGGCAATATTTCATCCTTGTCATAAGGAAAGACAGACAGTGTTACTGGCGCAGGGACATGGGAAGGATTGGGCTGGGCAGCGTGATGGAGGCCCTTTCAGGTGCCCCCGTGCCATCTTACCTGTACAGACTTGAACTGACAACCAAGCAAACACAAAGGCTTCTCACATATATTACAACAAAGTGCTGAATGATGCTGTGTTTGTGACTGTCAAACACAGCATCATTCTCCCTGTGGCTCCTGTATGAATGTCCGCACTATATGAGTATCAGATGAAATTCAGAAACATGTTGGCTTATCTACATGACTGCCCTTAAAATAATGTAGAGTTGATCCAGTTAACAAAAGAAAAGACAGGATCCAAGTTTTCTACAGTGGGTGGTGAGTTTTCAGTAGGAAAGTAGCTCAATTTTTTCTTGGCAAAAGCACCATGAAGTTTGTGGCCTGCAGTATAAAATTATACTAACACTCTGCAGGTTAAGGTGGAAGTGAATTGACAAACAAATCCTATATGACCAATCAGATAAATATCCTGACTTGAAATAATTGATCCTAGCAGTTTGTTCCAGTTGGAATAAAATGTCATGTTTTACATCAATTTCAGTTAATTTATCAAGACATTAATTTGATACATGGGGATGAAATCAGGATGGCCTTTCTTGAAGAGGATAATCTTTGTAGACAGGAGCAGTTGTGTGACATTCTGCTGGAGCGTGATTTTAGCTTTGAGCTTTTGACAGGGCTTCAGAAGGCGCTACCCTCTTCCACTGAGGTGACAGAACTTAGGTCAGAGACTGTGTTGTGAGAACTCTGGATTTTGTGTGGTGACCAGGCAGTTTTAGAATTTCGCATTGTGTTCCTAATCTTCACTTGAATAGAAGTTCAGGATGGATTTGTTTCTGAGTTTGGAGTAGCCTTTAATTTCTCCTTATACCTGTCTATATTTGTGAAACATTTTGCATAAGTATTTGTTACTTCTTTAATTGCATAAAAGCTTTTTAAGTGAAATACGTCAGAGAAAGACAAATACTGTACCATATCACTTATATGTAGAATCTTTTAAAAACCAAAATCATGGGAACAGACACTAGAACAGCAGTTACCAGGGGCTGCAGGGCTGGAGGCGCAAGGAACAGGGAATTGTTGGTCAAACAGTACACACTTCTAGGTGTAAGATGAGTAAGTTCTGGGGATTTAATGTACAGCATGGTGATTAGAGTTAATAATGCTGATTATATGCTTGAAAGGAGCTAAGAGAATAGCTTTTAAAAAAAGACTTAAAAAAAATCACAGCGGTCTGAATCAGAGCTTCTGAGGTACACGCCCAGCTTTTAAATGAACCCAGCAGAGAGAAGATTCTGCAACTGTAGAAAGATGAATTGTATGATGATTTGACTTTGTAATATCTCTAATTTACATTTTATGTTGCATTTTTTTAAACAAGTTATAGGTTTCTAAACCTGACATGCATACATTCAGGCAATATGTATCTACTTAAGTTGATGAGTTTCAGTGAACCCCGTGGTTTAGTTTATTCCAGGCACATTTCATTAGGATAAGAAATTAAGGTTTGTAAAAAATGAGAAAATAGATGTCTGTTGTTGGTTGGTTTGAGATAGTCTATGCATGAGAATGTGTATGTGAGATTTACAAAAGAAATTTAATGTTCCAGGAAGCCAGCAGAGCTAAATTATGCAAGATATATTAATAGTTTCCCCTTTTACACATTTTGATTAAAAGTATATTAACATTGCTTATATTTTAGATAGAATTTTGAGATCAGGATAAAGATACCTGGCAAATTGACTTTTGGAGACTTTACATGTACATATCTGTATTCCTCCCATTGGCAGCTTTGGAATCAAAGTCACTATTGTTGGAACATTACTCTGTTCAGGGAGAAATGATTCATATACATATACATAACTGATTTTAAGTAAGGGGGTCTCTTTGGCATATATAACATTTATCATCATTTTCTTGTTAGAGATTCATAGAACATGATTACATAAACATTTTACTATTTTGTCTTGAGATTTCCTTATTTGCAAGCGGATTCTTAACTTCTCCCACTTCGCGAGACAGAGCAGTACCTGTCTTAACTTGGATTTATTGAATATGGAAAGCTTTGCCAGAACTGTCAGATCTGACCAAGGAAATACGTGCTTTCTGGCAGCATTTTAACTTATCAAGGAAAATAAGCCAATATACTATTATTGGCAACTTTTTAGACTTTCCCAGGGGAGTTTTTTAAAAATTCAAAGTTGAAATGTTAAGACCAGCTTTCTAAATATTTCATTTGACTGCATCCAAACTTTGGGCTGACTCAAACAGCCCTTTCCAGCCTGTGACACTGAGGAATGGTGAAGGTGTTTGATCTTAATGCCTGGGTTAGGGCTGTTCAGGCTGCACTGTGAGTCACTGGCGGACTGACACAGTGGGCAAAACCAGTTCCTGGAGCTGGACAGGGACGGGGGCAAGGGTTCCTTTGTTTGCTGGCTTCCTTTAAAATCTTGCTTTTTACCACCTGGAAACACACATACACGCATGCGCACACATGAACAAATGATATACCATGAAAGTAATTCTTCCTGATCCAACAGATACAGTCTGTTTGGGGTGAGATCTCTTTGTCCTCCAGAATAGAAAATTATGCTTTTCTTGTAATGTTTAAAATCTGATGGTTGGTTATACCATAACATCTGCCTTAGTTAAACAAAAAAAGGAGAACTGAACTTTTTCATTAAATTCTGGCCTTCAATGCAGAGATAATGAATGTTAAATGGATCCTGAACACTCATTCTATTTGAGCAAAGTGTGGTGACTTGATGTTTTTCAAGTGAGTGATGAGTATTTTGATTTACTTAGGTGGGCAGATCAACTGAAAGCCCAATCGACTTCGTCGTCACAGACACAGTCTCTGGCGGTCAGAACAGTGACGAAGCCCAGATTACACAAAGCACCATATCCAGGTTTGCCTGCAGGATTGTCTGCGACAGGAATGAACCTTACACAGCACGGATATTCGCAGCCGGATTTGACTCTTCCAAAAACATATTTCTTGGAGTAAGTACTATTAATATGTGTGTTGTCTCAAGGAAAACACCCATTATCATCATATATAACATTTAATTATGACCCCAAGTTTGCTTTATGTGATGCTTCGAGTTCAGTTTTGAGACTTTAGTTTTCAGGTAGCCAATTTGAAAAGCTGTTACTAAAAATCTGAAAATGATTGTCATTACTTGTTTTGCTATAGTAATTATAGTATGTACAATAATTACTCTTTTAAAGCATATCTCAACATCATGCATAATGTATTTATGGTAGATTAAAGGGGAGTTATTTCATAGGGAAAAAGTAATGGTCAAATCTAGATAATTAGGGTTCAAAAGAAAATGTGGAAAATGCTCCATACTGAGTTATAAATGTGATATCACAGGGAACAAAACATTAAAAATCTCAGCTGTTGTAGTGTTTCCCTGTAAATTAAACCCAAGAATTCTAATAAATATCTAGTTTTCATATAGTTCCTTTTTGAATCAGGATATTTTTGTAGGGGGAAAAAATACACTCAAAATGGCCTAAACCATAATAAAAAGGTAGTATTCCCACATTACAAGAAATGCCAAAGAAGGCCAGCTTGAGGTTTGGTCACTCAGCGGTTCTGTGACCTCCCAGGAAGCAGGCTCCGCCAGGCCCTCTGCCTCTCTGGCACATTAGCCTCCTGGAGTGAGGCCTTCTCTGGGTGAGAGGTGGCTCCCGCACCACCGCACTCCCCCTGCAGCCTGGCAGCTTCCCTCTGAAGAAGAGGCGGTGGAAGCACTGCTGATCCCATGTCTCTGTCGAACCAAGAAACCTTTCCAGGAGGCCTCCCAGAAGACTCACTTGGGGGCCATTGGCCTGAATCAGCCATATGCCCACCCCTAAACCAGTCGGTGGCAAGGGGCTGGGACCATCACAACTGGCTTGTCGTAATCAGGATTTACCTGCGTCTTGGGAACAATATCTGACTGTCCCTGAGAGAGAAGAGCAAAATCACTGCAGCGCAGTCATCCAAGCGTCCGTCCCGCCATTGTAGCAGGCTGCTTTCCACCTGTGAGGGCATCAGCCCCGATTCACATAAACATAGTGGCCACAAACTGTGGGCTTCACAGCTTGTTAACATTTTGTATGTTTAATGGAAATGTTTCCCTTCCTCTGCACATTTCCCTGATAATGAGTTCATGTAAAGTATCTTTAGGTAGTAAGATCAAAGTGCTACACAAATAAACTGAAGAATACACACCAGGTTCTGGAATCACCTGGGGTGGGGGACGTAAAAAAACATCTCTGAGGGAGAAGCCCAGGCGTCAGGTTATTTTTTAAAGCTCCGAAGACAAATATAATGTGTCTCTGAAAAAAACCTATCCATTTTACCACTTCTTTCATATCGTTGGACTACTGTATTTTGCCACGTATAATGCGCACCCATGTTTTTGGCCCAAACTTTCAGGGGAAAAAATCTTTTATTTTAATTTTTAATTCAATTTTGTATTTATATTTAGAAACAAAGCCGATTATCGTATTCCAGGGTATTATTTTGCATACAGGTATCGTTATTACTTTCTAGAGATAAACTTTTAGTGTGTAAGCATAAATGAAATAATTAGAAACATTTATATAGATTTGGAATTAGTACTAATTCCAAATTCCAAATGTGTATAATGCATGTCCTTATTTTTCCCTCAGAAATTTGGGGGGGAGGGGAAGTGCACATTATACACAGCAAAATATTATTGTTCTGACTATTAGTTTTAAATAGAAAATGAAAATTTACCACTTTACTCCCCTCTACTCCTACCCAATATTTTAAAGAGATTCTAGAACCCCTTCTTTTTTTAACATGATCTTAATGCTTTTTCTGCTCTCCAGGAAAAGGCAGCAAAATGGAAAAACCCCGATGGCCACATGGATGGGCTCACCACAAACGGGGTCCTGGTGATGCATCCCAGAGGGGGTTTCACTGAGGAGTCTCAGCCCGGGGTCTGGCGTGAGATCTCTGTCTGCGGAGATGTGTACACCTTGCGAGAAACCAGGTCGGCCCAGCAGAGGGGAAAGCTGGTGAGTAGGCTTCAGTCTGAGAAATGCAACAAACTCCAGAAACCTAACTCAAGGATTGCCCTCTCCTTCCGTGGAATTCAGACCCTGTACAGGCACAAGCGCTGGGCACTGCCGACCCAGGAGGAGGAGAGTTGGGCACGCCCCTGCAAGTGAGAGGGAAATGGCCTCGTTTCCTTTCAGGATTAAGCTTTTCTCATAGCGGAAGAAATTTTTTTTGTTCCTTACAACTTTAAGAGCATAATCTTTTATTATATCATTCATCACAAAATTCCACTTACATTCACTGTAAGAATAAATGTAATTTTAGTGTAAAACTTTACTAATTTGGAAGAATCCTAAGCAGTTTAAGACTAATTAGTGAAAACTGTGTTTTACAGAATTATTTACTAGACTTTCCCGAACTAGAAGACAATTAAGTATTACCTTTTTCAAAAAATTTATAGTAAGAAATTAATACATAATTCCCTATATAACTCACCAAAATTGTAGGTGCAGCTTTTTACTTTGAAATAATTTATATAGTACATTGACTTGGCATGCTGATATTTTCCTAGAACTATTACCACTTATCCCAAATACCCTAAGGCAGTTGGTTTCTTAACCTTTTCTTTTATGGAGAATAATTATAATACCTTAAATGAGAAACTTTGGGTTTCTGATCTTGCCGTAGTACTGGGGCACAGTGCAACAAATGTTCTTAATAAATTTTCCACTCCAGTACTTTTAATTAATTGTTAGGTAGAAGCTAGAACAAGAGGGAACAAATGTTTTCTTCAGAACTCCCATAGAAAAAATACAGGGAAATAGAGGATTGATCTAGCATTTTTCAGAGAGAAAGACAATAACCAAATATTGTTAAGGTGGAAAAAGAGGATAGGGGACTATTTTACTATCCTGGTTTGCTCTTCTCTACTGGCTGTTTCTTTTTAGGGAATTGCTTAAATTTCTATTTTATACCATCATTCAGCTACAGGTACAGCTTCTTTGTTTGACAGTAAAGCCCAGCCTTGGAGCATGATGGCTGAATAAATATGAGAAGCGTTTTCTAAGAAAGGTCAAGTGAATTCAGTATACTTTGTCTAAATATTTTTAAAGAGATTTTAAATAGGGAAGAGAATGTGAAAGCAGTTTTTCCAAATAACTTTGTCTCTGATCACCAGATGATGTTATACAACACTGACCTAGGTTGGCCAGATTGGTTGTTAATCATTCTAATGGGACCAGTGGGAAGTCAGTGAAAGGTTGCTGGGTGCTGGCACTGCATTGATATTTCAGAGATACCAGCTCTGAATTTCATCTGCACAGTATCCTTGTCAGGGGAGTGGATTTGTCCCCATTATATGGATGAGGAAAGCGTGGTATGGAGAGGGTAAACATTGCCTAATGTCACAAAGTTAGAAGGTGACACCAGACTGGATTGAAACTTAGGTCCCCCCGATAGAGAGTCTACACTCCTGGCCGCTACTCCAAACCATCTTGTGGGGAGTCATACCTGGCTGCTACCTGAGATCATTCCCACCAGAGCATTTGCTTCCTGGGCAAATGTAAAGTGTACGCAGCAATCATGAAGGGCTCATTTGTCCAGGAGGGCGCACCCCAGGATGCCCGTCTTGCCCACTCTGGTAGTTGTGGGGTGACCCGGCTCGCACTTCCGTAGAGTGCTGGGGAAGTTTTCAGTGCTACGGAAACAGCTCCAAAAATAGCTTGCATGAATGGATTGTATTAAATATAGACTAATTAATTTAAAGTTTTTCCTAAAGTGACCCTTAGACCTACAGAAAGCCGTGCTATACTATTCGATGATAGTATACGATTGACCCAGCCAACAGTAAAGATTTCCAGGTTTCTGTCAGTCGGATCTCAGGCTTGTGGCTGGTAGCGTGCGGGTGAAGGGACCCATCCTCCCTGCGGTCCACTCTTGTTAAGTTGGGGGAGGTTGTCTCTGTCCAGGATAGAAACCTACTGATTCTTTGCACTTCTGTCCCAGTGTATAAGTCTTTGGTTCTGTACATGTTGCTGGTAGTAGTTGATACAAATTATGTCTATCTGGAGATATCATCTGTAATTTAAGGTGAGATAGGGAGACTAAAGTGATGAACTAGAAGTCCGGAGTATTTGTCACGATGATAATCGATGCCTTCTGGTAGAGTGGTTTGTTTAACACCAAACTCAGCATTTAGTGTGAATCAGTGTCCTCTTTGTTTTTAACAACAAGTCATCACGTTTTCTCATTATTACAGCAAATGATGAACCCCTGGTACTTTGTACTTGATGAGCATAATTAAATGTGGGGGAAATACTGTTTTCAGAAGCTTAACCCCTTGAGTAAATAAATAGGTGAATGAACTATGAATTGTGTTCTACTCATTTACCTGGTTAATAACATGGTAACACTTATCATATTGCTCTAGTAGACTCGTGAGTATTTTATAAAATTATATTTCAGGTATTTTATTTAACTATATTGGCTTTCTGTAAAATTAAGTATTTCAATTGATTTACTTACCTAATTTTAAGTGAAAATACAAAAATAACCATAGTGTTACTACATGTAGGCTGTACCAAGTGCTTTGTGTTAATTTTCTCTCAGACATTACTCAAAACAAAGCTATGAGGTCAGTGTTGTTACTGTTAACCATTTGCAGGTGAAGAAACCAGGCTTTAAAAGGTTGTCACCTGCTCATAAGGGGTAGTTTGGGATTGGAAGTCCCTTCTCTAAGCTCAGCCGTCTGATATGTTGGGGCCATAAGGTTTTAGCTGTCTCTCACTTCCACAGCCCTGTCTACTCCTTGTGCCTTCTCCTTGCTCTTTCTTTTTTTTTTCTGGTAGAATTTGAAAAAGAAAATCCAAACCCTTGCCTCTGCACAGTGGTATCTTCACCATTCTGCCCCCCACTACACTGCATTCTGGAGAAAAACTACACATTTTGTTCATAGTTAGAGGAAGCACATGAGAAATAACAAATAAGAGGAGAAACAGGGTACTGGTTGGGCAGCCACTATCCGTTAACAGTTCCCAAGGCAGGCCATCGTTTCCAGTCCTGGTTCTTCCACGTAGTACACTCTGCATTCTTCAGTCAGTGACATCCCAGTGAGACCTGAGCGATGAGTGGAACTTCGCCAAGCTGCGGGGTAGCCATGGGGTGGGTGTGATGGAGAATCCTGTTCAAAGGGCACTCGTGCGCGCGCCTGTGGGCCGGCCGGCTTCATGCGTTCATAGACTCGAACTCTGCGCGCTCAGCGTGGGGCAGCCCTGTGCCACACGTAGTGACAGCTGCGGAAGCCGGAAGGCCCCATTGTGGATGATGAGAAGTTCGGCCTTCATCCTGACAGCAGTGGAGAGCCAGCGCAGTCCTTTGAGCCAGAGGGTGACAGTTCCTGGCCTTCCCGTGCCTCTTTTCCCCTTACATGGATGGCTCTTTCTCTGCACCCCAGCCTTAGTAGGGGGTGCCCTGGCTCTGTCCTTGTCCTCCCTCCCAGGGACCCTGCTGGGCAATGCCATCTACTCCAGGACTTGAGCTGGATGCCCACAAATCCCAGGTGTGCTTCTCTGAGCCACATGCATCTCAGAGGCTGCAGTCCTACGTGCCTGTTGTGCATTCAGTATAGACACTGCGCAGCCCACAGATCCTACACACCCAAAACCGACCTTACTGTCTTTTTCCCCCCCAACTCTGCCATTTCTGCTAGATATCTTGACCACAGGAAACCCCATTCTAGGTAGACAGTGAGTGAAGCCAGATATGTAAAAATCTTTCTTCCTAAATCAAGAACTAAGGGCTTTGAGTCTAATTCCTCCACATTTGATACCTGTGCCTCTTGTCTTTTGCCACCGGTCACCCTCTTTGCTGCGCTGTACCCATCTTCTTGGCCTGGAGAGAGAATTCCCCGTTTCCCACCTCTTGTCTGCACCCATCCAGTCCATCCTCCGCACCTCTGGAAGGGACCTTTGGGAAAGGGAAATCTGTTTTTTCATAGCTCCCTAAAAGCCCTTTCGACTCCCTGTGGGTACCAAAGCCAGAGACCTCCTCCAGCCTGGGCCTCTTGCCCTGCTCCCAGGCCCCGCCCCCCATCCAGCCGCGTCCAGCCCCCTGTGGAACCCTGCTGGGCTCCTTTTTCCTGTCAATTCGAGTGGCATTTGGCCTTTTCATGTCTCCTCCTGGTGTGCCTCCTGTCCTATCCATTGACTCTTGACAGTATCTTTTTCAAATGTCTGTTCAAGGAGAACCCTTTAAAACCATTTCTGACTTTGCCATTATCAAAGTCACAGTAGCAAACATTTACGCAGTGCGTATTGCATGCCAGACACTTTATTTGTTCCAAGCACTTTATTTGTATTAACATTTTTAACCCTTAGAATCCCCTCATCTGCATTTTACAGAAGAGGAAACTGACATATCGGGACGTGAAGTAACTGCCCCAGGTCTCAGAGCAGGAAGCAACAGCACTGGGGTTCGGACCCAGGCAGTGGGCTCCAGAGTCCCCACTTGTGGCCACTGTGGTGGTGTGGCTGCGCATAGCACTGGCAACACCTGCTGACCTTCAGCCGGGACCTGTCTGGCTCCCACTACTAAGGAATGAGGCTCTTCAGGATGTGGGGGAGGTTTTATTGGTCTCACACCCCAGGGCTCAGAGCACATGCCGCACATGGAGGCAGCAGCCAGATCCCTGCTGACCTAACTGTGCTCCTTGTCAGCTGTTCCTCAGTCTGTGAGCACCTGGTGCTTAGCGCAGCCGTCCTCTCAAAAATGGAGGCTCCCTCCGAGCACTTCTGCTCCAAGCCCTATGAATGCAGGACAGAAGACATTGTCGATGTAGGATAAAAGACATTGTGGGAAGCTGGGGGTCAGCAGGAGCCGTGGGGAGCACTGCAGTCATGACCGCAGGGCCCCATGGCGTCTTCTGGATTGACTGTGGGAAATGAGTGCGGTCTTCACTGGATGGACTGGTAGAACATCTCCAGTCCAGATGAGATCAGGGAGTGATCATGTAACGGACTGAAGGAGGAAAAATAAAAACCTGAGATGTGGGCTCACTGAAATTGCCACTACAGTAGTTGACACACCCAGCTAGGTAGCTTGTGCTTAGGGCTTTGCACCTATCGCGTATATGGTATATGGATCGTATCCAATGTTCATTTGAGGAAACCGAGGCTCAGGGAGACAAAGGTCCTCCCCCAGATCCGTCTTTGGTGCGATAAACTGCCTCCGTGAGCTTACTTCAAAGATGACTTGTTCATTTTGAGAGGAAAGAATGTTAGTGATTGGCTCGATTTTGCTTTTTAAATGCATGTCTGCCAAACTTGTTCCAGGTGGAAACTGAGACCAACGTCTTGCAGGATGGCTCCCTCATCGACCTGTGCGGGGCCACCCTTCTCTGGAGAACCGCGGACGGCCTTTTCCACACTCCAACTCAGAAGCACATAGAAGCCCTGCGGCAGGAGATCAACGCGGCCCGGCCACAGTGCCCCGTCGGGCTCAACACGCTGGCCTTCCCCAGCATCAACAGGAAGGAAGTGGTGGAGGAGAAGCAGCCCTGGGCCTACCTCAGCTGCGGCCACGTGCACGGGTACCACAACTGGGGCCACCGGAGCGACACGGAGGCCAACGAGAGGGAGTGTCCCATGTGCAGGACTGTGGGCCCCTACGTGCCTCTGTGGCTCGGCTGCGAGGCCGGTTTTTATGTAGACGCAGGACCGCCCACGCACGCTTTCACCCCGTGTGGACACGTGTGCTCGGAGAAGTCTGCAAAATACTGGTCTCAGATCCCGCTGCCTCACGGAACTCACGCGTTTCATGCCGCCTGCCCTTTCTGTGCCACGCAGCTGGTGGGGGAGCAGAACTGCATCAAATTAATTTTCCAAGGTCCAGTTGACTGATACCCTTGACAGCCATCTACGACTTTATTAACAAGTTACTGTGAAGATTTTTGCCACTAACTCTCGATTTTACCTTTTTATAATGCTGTTTATTAAGGGGTGGGGGGCGAAGCTGGGAGGAAAGAGGGAACATAGTGATGAAACATGCTAGGAATTTAACAGATATCAGTGGTGTGTTGCATGCCCAAAACAGCAGCATCGTCATTGAAGTCTGCTTGATTAAACCACATTATCTTTGTAATAATTGGATTTAAAATGCCATGCTTTTATTTTAACCCTGGATTTATAAACTTTTTTTTTCTTTTGTAGCTTTGGATAACACTTTAAATCATATTTTACAAATGAAGAATTGTATTCAAAACTGTTGGCTCATAATATGCCGCTTCCCATTCTGCAGGGTGTAGGTATTACCTGAAAGACATGTGATATCTAGAAATACCTAATACAAGCTAGTATCTGACCAGGTACCAAAAGAATGGCTCTATAAAACACTGTCGGGCAGAAGACCGTAGGTACAGGTGGTGGTTTTGAAATCTGGGGCTTTTTTTAAAATTTATTTTTCTTAACATTTAGGGGGAAAGAATATTCGTATGTTGTCCTGTTTTGCTTTGTTTTTTTAATTAACTTTGGTGGAATTTGATTATTTTATACACACATTCACCAAATACCTTGGCATTTCAAACAAAGAATTTTCCGTAGCTTTTTAGTCTGCCTTTTGTTATTTCTGTCTAATATATTTTGTCCCTGATACTCATCGTGCATGGCCATAACTGTTTGGTCAATTAAAATGTAGCAACTTCTAAAAATTCTTTCACTAAGGGTGATTATTGCAGCAGTAAACATGGCCTGCCTAGGAATTCTAATAGCAAGTTTATTTACTTACCAAGTTATTTAAGATTTAAGAGCGATTAAAAATGAGATTTTACTTTTTAAAACCACTTGTTGGGGTTTCATAATTTTTTTTTTTTTTTTTGTTCCTTAAGAAAGCCAAGAAGATTCTGTGAGCCTAAAAGCAACATGTCACAATGACACAGGCGTTTCGTTCATTCCCTCTCCGCCATCTGTCACCTTTCCTCGCAGCCTGTAAGCTGAAAGTTTTGAAAATGTTTGCAAATCAAACTACATTTAAATGTGATCATTAGATATACACAACACCAAGGGGTACATCTGCAGAGATAATTTGAAATCCCTGATTTAAAGAGAGCAAATGAGTGTTTACTGAGGATTAATTAAATCAAAATTTCAGATGAGCACCTCCATCCCTCTGTTATTTTCATTTCATTTGGAATAATAACTCTTGGGTGCTCAGTCTGTGTGGTACCAGTATATCACTGCTCCCAGAATGGAGAGATCCTTTAAGACAAAGCTGGCTGAGATGAAGTAGATCCCTGCCACATGGAGCAAGTATTTATTTAAACTAACATCCTCTTAAATTGACCATTGCACATTCGTGCTACATTTTTTTACTTTTGTAAAGATATCTAATTTATATGGTTCTAATATACTATATCCATACTTGAATTGGTTTTTCCATGTTTTGCCTACTGGCAAATATTTTGTCTATTTTCAATTGTTCTAATCCATTTTTGAATGTCCTTTTCCTTAGAGTGGTAAGATATATTATGCTTGATTGCTGCTGCTTAATTTGACTTAATATATAACAAGTTAAGCCTCTCAGTTATAAAATAGCTTTACTTTTTAATGGAGATTATTGTTTAGGATGAGATTTTTTGTTTCGGTAGGTTTTAAGTGGTGTGAAAATCCAACGACAGTCTCCTTATTGATGGCTTACTCTGTTCGGTATACCTGTAGACAGAACAGGAAACAATGGAAATGCCTAAATAGTACATCAAATGCTTTTTGATTTAGCCAGACAGTCTCCAGTGTTTAGCTTTCATTGGCAGAGTGTGTCCTTTCAACCTGGATTCTCTGGGCTCCACCAAAGGATAAAGGAGGCACATGGCCCCTTACCTTGCTATAGAAGGTGGCCAGCAGACTCTGGATACCCTAAAAGCATCCTTTACGGTAAATGGTGTCTTGCATCTAGAAAGGCTGGATTTTACATGTCAGAAAAAATGTGTTTTGTTTTTTTTTTTCCCCAGAAAGTTACGGTCTGATTTAATATTCCATTTCAAGAATTGTAAAGTCTAGCAGTTCTGTGTACAACATATGTCCCAAAATAAAATATCTTCCAACCTGAAAATTTTCTGACTTTTAGCAAAGTCAGAGAGCTAAAAAGTTGAAGTTTGGGTAATCAGTTCTAAACTCTTAGAAGGGGTAACAGTGAACCGCCCTCTGTCAGCGCTGCATCTTGTCCTTTGACCTCTACTTGAGGTTCCCTCCCACCCTGCCTAAGAAGCCACAGAGAGGGGACAAGTCTGCAAAAAGGAAACCATGTTCATTTTGGCCACATCTAGTCAGATCCCCCTATAATTTTGGCTATTAAGATTTCTTTTTCAGAGTTAAGAGCAAGTTAGTCTGTAAGAATAAAGAGCTCTATCTAGCTCACCAAAGTGGAGTAAGAGTTCAGAAAGGGTAACTTCTCAAAGATCACTTGTTTTTTTGTCTTGCTTACCATCACATCAAAGGGTGAGTCTCCCTCCCCCATGTATATTCATAGGAAATTACTAACCAATTATCCTGAGCTCGGCCTGACCAAAATGCCTTTTGTGAATAGGTTTCTAGAAGTTCAGCCCCAGTGATGTATTCCTGTAGATATTTTTTTTTCAGTTGTTTACTACAAAAAAAGAGAAGAAAAAGATTGACAGTGAATGGGATACAACTCAATATTTTTCTAGTCTGGAATTTTTTTAATTAATAATCGGTGCTGCCAGGTCATGCATGCTGCAACTCTTAACATTTCCCTTATTTGGTTATGCTTTTTGCAAAAAGGGCTACAGTTCACACTGCAGAGTAAATACTAAGCTTTCTGGGGGTTTTTTGTTTCCCACTGTGGCCCAAAAGAATTAAAATCTTTTAATATAAATAGAGAGCATATTTATCATTCCTCGATAGTTAATTATAGAGTTTGGTACCTTTGTGCCTCAGGGAAGCCACGTGATATAACTGGTTATAGAATTTCAGGGTTAGGGTTTAGGGAAAGGAGAAAGCCATTGGAAAAATGATGGGCTCCATTAAGGAGACTAATGAATCTGGATGCAGAAATATGCCAGGAACCGGCATACATATGATTGTAGTAGAATTTATTTCCAGTATCAATAGGGAAACTATTTTAAGTTATTACATATACTGATCAGGAAAGTTAAAAACTTTCTTCATAAAGTTTCGATGCTTTATTTTTGCTTACATAGAAAAGCTCAAACCCCTTTTATGTGGGAGCTCAGTATTGTGGTTTGGGCACTTTTGAGAGTTTAAGGAAAATGTTTCCCCTTTTGTTAAGTGTAACATAGGTTACGGAATTGTTACCTGCCCTTCTATGATTCTGACTTTTCTTTTTTAAAGCCATTCTGTCCTCTGGATTTGCATGAAAGGTTGTGATCACACCTTTGGTAAAGCTGGTTAAAACCTAGTTATCTTCGTGCAGCCCTGCCTAGTGACCGTGGAATTTCTGATAGACAAACCACAGAACCTCGATTTTAGGCCAGGTCCAGCTCCAATCAGGTCCTTGCCTGTCAGTCTTACATGCCCATAGTGCAGCCTTCATAGGCTGAAGGTATGCAGTTCCCCCTTCGTTGCTGGAGACGGAGCACAGCCCTGGGACCCTTTCTTGATGACCCGGTCAAAGGCTAATGAGAACACTTGAGGATCTTTTGAAAAGAATGTAAGAATTATTGAAGTAGTAAAACAGAAGTTTCAGTATTTCTTTTGTATGAAACTCATAATCCTCTCAAGTAAATTTTAGCCCTCACGAGCAATCCCTAGAGGAAGATAGGGAAAAGCAAATATTTTTCCAGTTCTGTTTAATTGTTTCTAAACAAAATAATGAAAGGGAAGTTGTTTTTTTCTTTTAAAGCTGAGGTGACAGATTACTTCTCTGTATTAAGTAGTCTAGAAGTTAAGGGGTGGTCATATTTACCATGTATAGTGTTATGAGCAGTTAAATTTTATGGCTATATTTGTAAAACTGTTCTTTTATATTTCATGTCAAATTGAAAAATTATTTCTTCACTATTGTACCTGTGGAAATACAAGCCATTTTACAGGAAAAATCTTCAAAACCTATTAAACAGATCTCAGTGTGTTTATGAGTGGTTGTCTTCAGACTCTGTGGCTATCATGAGTGCACCAGGACATTCAATAGAAGTTAGTACAAAAGTAGACTTGATTTTTGCATTTCTCAAACTTCCAAGTTGATCTGAAACAATTAAGCTTATTCTTGTTTTATATTCCACACAATGCATGCATACATACTAAAATCTGGATACTGAGAATCCCCTTAATTTTCTTACTGGAAAAAAACTTAATCGGTGCTTATATTACTATTTCTTGTGACATTACATCACTGTCAAATCTAACTTCCCAAAGAGCTTAACCTTATTTGTAGAATTAATGGATTTCCTATCTGATCATTAAACTCCTGTTGCTACTTTCGTGACAATCTTCTTTCACATTTAACAACATAAAGATTATGTATAAACCTTCAAGCCAAATTAATGTCTTTCATAAGAAAATACATACATTTATGATGAGTTTTTTCCATCACATTGATATTTAAAGAATCTTAGTATTGTTCAGGCAAATTTTTCACTTGAGAGCAAAGAAAATGTACATTTATATGGGCTTTTCTTTCAGAAGTTAAGTGTTTCCTACTTTATCAAATTAACATGCCATTAGTTGTGAGATGTGTTGTTAAGAATAAACATAGTTACAATTGTAATATAGGTCACCTGTGGCCAAGGGTACAGTATTCATAGGGAAATAATAGTGTTCAACAAATTCTGGGACAACGAGATAGCCGTGTGCAAAACAATGAAGTTGGAGCCTTACATAGTATACAAAAATTAACTCACAGTGTATTAAAGAGCTAAAACTATAGAATTCTTAAAAGAGCAAATCTTTGTGACCTTGAGTTAGTCAATGATTTCTTAAATACATCACCAAAAATAAGCAACAAAAGATAAATTGGGACTTTATCGAAATTACGTACTTTGATGCACAAAACATTTTAGTCCAAGTAAAAAGCCCACAAAATGGGAGAAGATACTTGTAAATCATCTATGTGGTAAGGGAGTTGTATTCAAAATATGCAAAGAACTCATAACTCATCAATAAAAAGACATCCAAGTTTAAAAAATGGTCAAAGTATTTGAGTAGATATTTTTGCCAAGAAAATACACAAATGACCAATAAGCACATAGAAAGATTCTCAATATCATTAGCCATCAGGGAACTACAAATGATGAGTTAGCACTTTTTAGCCACTATGATGGCTAAAATAAAGTGTTGACAATTTGTTGAAAACTTGGAACCTCATACACTGTTGTTGGTGCAACTGCTCTAGAACAAGCAATTTTTGGCAGTTCCTCAAAAGGTAAAATATACAGTCACCATGTGACAGCATTTTTTACTACTCAGTATACACCTAAAGTATTAAAAATAATGTGTCCACACAACTTACACACGAATGTACATAACAGCATTATTCATAGTAACCAAAAAATAGACAACCCAGAAGTCCCATCAGTTGAATGAATAAACAAAAGGTAATTTATTTATACAATGGAATATTATTTGCCTATGAAGATTAATAAAGGACTCATATAATGTTAATGAACCTGGAAACATGCTAAATAAAAAGCCAGACACAAAAGATCACATGTCAGAAATACAGATCTTTACCTGATTAAACAAACCCTTGGTACATTTTAAGATACTCCCATAATCACAACCAATAGCACTGAAGAATAATAAGCAATGAGAAAAATATACTCTCAAAATTGAAGTGGAAGTAAAAAGTTGGGAAGAGGAAAACCTTTGAAAAACTATGTTAACATGATTTATTATTCATTTTCTTTATTTGTGTTTGGACAAGAAGTTACTTAAATCTAAGCAGATACATATTGGAACTGTGGAATTCTGTAGGAATAAATATCCAGTGATCTTGGATACTTACCAGAGCTTGAACAAAATTATGGACAGCATTAAGAGTAATAGAAATAGTCTTCAAAATAATCTTTAGCAATTTATTAATTTAATGTCATCAGAACATATTCAGACTTGGATCAGTCTATATATATATATATATTTTGCATTTTCTTCTTTTACTTTCAAGAACCATTTAAGTGGTTTCTCTTGTTTTTACTACCAAATTTGAAAACCTCAAGCCCTTGGGTCAGATGTAACATGGCCAGGTGGAAAAAGCAGCATCAGAAGAAAAGCCAAATTGTAACAGATTTGGGGAGTCAAAAATGAAGAGGGCAGGCGTGGCGAGGAAAAGGGTAGACACGTAAGTAACTGCAGTGCTCACGCACAGGTGAGCCGTGTCCACAGTGACCATCCCAGGGACAAAATGGAAAACACAGCTGCCCAAGCACATTCTGCATGGA